GTGGTGGCATCAGGGGTCAGCAGGGAAACTGAACCCAGCAAAGTGAGAGGCATGGAAATAGGTATGGAGAGGAAGAGCAAGATAAACAGAGCATGAGGGCCAGAGTAACTGCGAGGTGGGAGTAGAAGTTGGACGATGGCGGAGGATGTGATAACAGATGAGGCTGCTATAAGAAGCCTCAACTATTAGTAGTATATCAGTCTTCTGTTTTACTTAGCAGTGTGCTGGAAAGTGTGATGAATTCAATCTTGTGTAGCTTGTGGAAAGGCAGCTCTAGTACATTTGAAATGCAGGAGATGCCGCGATCTGGAGTGGAGCTCAGCCCCTGTTTTATCTTGCACACCTGACATTTACTGTTGAAGGAAGCCTGCAGCAGGAAATGGAGTGCTGTTTATTTCACAACGTTTATATGAAAAACATTCAATCATATGCCCTGCTGTTCATACAGTTGCTAAGAGGATGAGATTGATAGTAAGTGGTCTTATGAAGCTATCAGGCAGCTTCATATTCAGAGCTCAGGTTTCTGCCTTTTCAATCTGCCCAAAACAGGCCTTTTCAGGACTTTCCAATCTGCCCAATGGGACTTTTCAATCTGCCAGAAATTATTATCCTTGCCAAGACATGATCTTCGGGGAAAAGTCCCAGCCCCCTCCTTCCCCATCTCCTTTGCCTGACTCAGCAGGCCAGAAATACCATTTGCTATTCTCTCATAGACTTTTGACCTGTAACACTTGCCTGTTATTTAACGTGGCTTTGCAGCAGGTTCAGTGAGGAAGAGCTCGGCAGCACCCTGAGCACACACGTTGTCAAACCAGGGCCAGCTCCAGCCACGTTACTTGGCCAAAGCTAACCACAAGCTTTTTGCTGGGTGAGCGACACTGCCCGGAGGTGTGAGGAGGTGTGAGCCGTGACTGTCTAGCTGTGCTGGCACAAAGTCCTAAAAGCAGTGGGGTTATACGGCTAAAGCTGTGTGCTGCAATCAGACAGCTTGCTTTGCTGATGGGGAAAAGCTACTAAGCTTGTGCGAAGCTCTGCTTTGCAGGCAGGCATCTGCAGATACTTGCAAAGATGCTTTTGCCACTGTAGCTTAGCAGTAGGGAAATGCATCTACCACAGACATGAAATTAATCCTGGGGAAAGTCTATTTAAACAGCAATTTTCTCTCCTGAACAGTGTGTCCTGAGCAGTCTTTTCAGGACAATAGTGGGAAGGGTTGTTTAGGAGGTGCCCTAGGGTAAATGCCCCTCAGCTCTCAGCACACACAAGGATTCTCCAGCTGCACTCAGGGAGGCTGGGATCAGAAAACTGAGGAGCTGGTGGAGCTCTGGCTCTTTTTTTCCTCACACCATCAGCTTGACACGCAAGCACAGGCAAAAGTCTCTGCAGTGTTACGCCCATGCAAGAAAAAAGCCTTAGCAAGAAATGTGCTCAGAAATCTTCAAGGCACGATGCCTCTTGGAAACACAGTTCGGGTCTGAGAGCCCACTTTATTCTGCCAGTACAGTGGTAACTTCACTGAACATAATGTGGCTTTCCAAAGAATCCCCTCAGTTTTGAGCACTGCAGGACAGACTATCTGCCCCCCTGGAGAAACTAAAATGCAGGTGCTATCTGTTCCCTCCTCTGCTTTGTTGCCTTCAAGAAAAAATGCCAAGAGGATTCATCCAGAGTCTCCAGACAGCTGGAAAACCTGCAGACACAGCTGAAGTGGACATTGATAAACATTTTCTGCAGTTCTGACTGCAATTTTTTTTCTGCTGAGTGCCAAATGACTGATTGCACCAACCATCTCCCTCCTAGTGCAGCATCTTCAGCTCCTAATTTCTCTGTCCACTTCTTTCCTCAGTCCCCCACATCTTCTTTCCAGGCTTCTTTTCCCATCTATATAGGTTAGATCCCCTGCCATCATCACTGTCATGCTCTTCACTCTCTTCACGCATTCCTCCCCTACCACTGATCTCTTCTGTCTTGCACATGCACATTGTGAGCAGCCATCCCTAGCCTGGGCTGGTCCTTCAAGATGGCCTTACAAAACTGGTGAGCAGTTGAGCATCTCTAAACCTACAAGGACTCATAGTTTTTCAACTCCTAACTCAGCGACTTAAGTGGAGTGTGGACTGTTAAGCAACACCTTGGGTCTCAGAGTGATGAGATGTGATCCTGTACAGGTGTAAAGGCAGCAGCACCATGACAGTGCTAAGTTCTCAGTCTTGGTAGCCAAGAGACAAAACCACAGAAATTCACACTCTATTTAGATATTATAAACTTATTCCATCAGATGGCCTGTACTGAGCAACCACAAGGAAGAAATGCCATCCCAGAGCGCTGTTGTATGATACTTGGGATATAGCAACCTGCCTTTGGTTCATGCTCTGCCACTAATTCATTTGCTGGGCTTGTAACCGTGTAACAATACTGTGCTTCAGAGCAACCATCTGCAAACCGAGTATAGTACTTACTGAATCACAGGCATGTTGTGAGGCTTCATCAATCAATTGTGGTTTTAAAAGGACTCTCAACTCCTGGCCCAAAAGTGTAAATCATCTTAATTTATGTCCTTGTTAGAATTTTTTTTTATACAAATCTTTGTCCTATTCTTTTCTCATAACAAATGTACACCAGGTCAATTCTCAGTGGGTTACTCCTCATTTAAATTGTGTAACTGAGCCGAGAATGAAATCCCTTGTCTTCAGCCAGAGGAAGGCTCTTAATACTGTAGCCATTTACGCACCCTTGAAAATGGAAGCTATTTAAAAGCTTTATTTGACTTCAACAGCAGGAAAATGTGCACCTCACTTTCCCCAGCATCAATCCTTTTTAAAGCATATTGTGTGTTTACAAGCTGTCTTGAGCACTGAAATTGATTTTAGAGATGGGCAGTTATTAAAGGTTCATTTTCCCTCCCTCCTCCAGTTTCAAACTAAGTGATAATATGAGGTGGTGGGAAATTCTCTCCATGAGATGGTACTGCCTTTGCCCTGACTCTGAGTTTCTCAAGAAAGGTTTTCACTAGAGTATATATCCTGCTTGATCTCTACAAGTAAAACTATAATCTTCCTTTCAAAGAAACAGTTTAGCCTTGTGTGTATATACAGGTTAGAATTTATTTTGGAAAATAGCTGTAAGAGACTCTGGCACAGCTAAATGTAATTGAATTAGCTGTGGTTTAAGCTACTGCTATGGTCTCACTCCCCTTTCAACACAGTTAAATACAGTAATAACAATATTTAGTATCAATTTCTTAATTACTAGTTAGTCCAACCCCTGCTTGATTTGGGTGATATAAAACTGACACTTCCAGCATGGAAGAAGAGGGAAGATGCTGCTCTTCCATGTCCTCTGCAACAGACGGTTTGCTTGGCCCTAGTGTGTCCTAGGTAGTCTGCGAAGTTGCACTCACAACAGGAGTAGTCAGGGATTACACTGGAGTAGTCAGGCCTTAGACCACCAAGACAGGTTTGCAAGAGATGCAAGTGGAGGCAGTGGGGACACCCCATGGGGTGTCCATCTTCGTTTGTGAAATATCTACATTAAAGCTGCAGCTGGATACCCCACCTGCCACCAGCTTTCCCTATCTGAAAAATGGTATATGCAGGAGGAAAATGTTGGCTGGAAAAAGTTTTTCCATTACTGGGTGGCGGTCAGGTCATAAATGATGGGAATAGAGGCCAGAAAAAATTATGTTAGAACAAAATGCACTCTGAAAATTACAGAGGTATCTGAAGGGTGAGTGTGTTCATGTGTCCTCAAAGAGGAGAAAAAATAGAAGGAGGTGTGGAAGAGCCCACTCAATCTCTTCCAAATAAAAAAGATGTGTATCCATGTGGTGGCTTGTCCCTGGCTGGATGCCAGGTGCCCGCCAAAGCCACTCTATCACTCCCCTCTTCACTGGACAGGGGAGAGAAATATAATGAAAGGCTCATGGATCAAGGTAAGGACAGGGAGAGATCACTCACCAATTACCATCACGGGTAAAAGAGACTCGACTTGGGGAAATTAGTTTAACTTATTGTAGGTCAAATCAGAGTAGGTTAACTAGAAATAAAAACGAAATCTCAAAACACCTTCCACCTACCCCTCTGTTCTTCCTGGACTTAACTTCACTCCCAGTTTCTCCACCTTCTCCCCTCCAGCAGCACAGAGGAGCAGGGGATGGGGGTTGTGGTCAGTTCATCACCCATTGCCTCTGCTGCTCCTTCCTCCTCAGTGGGAGGCCTCCTCATACTCTTCCCCTGCTCCAGCGTGGGGTCCCTCCCACAGCAGACAATCCTCCATGAATTTCTCCAATGTGAGTCCTTCCCACGGGCTGCAGATCTTCATCAACTGCTCCAGCGTGGGACCCCACGGGGTCACAAGTCCTGCCAGCAAACCTGCTCCAGCGTGGGCTCCTCTCTCCACAGGGCCACAGGTCCTGCCAGGAGCCTGCTCCAGCGTGGGCTTCCCACGGGGTCACAGCCTCCTTCGGGCATCCCCCTGCTCCGGCGTGGGGTCCCCCCCGGGCTGCAGGTGGGTCTCTGCTCCCCCATGGAGCTCCATGGGTGCAGGGCACAGCTGCCTCACCACGGGCTGCCCCACGGGCTGCAGGGGAACCTCTGCTCTGTGCCTGGAGCGCCTCCTGCCCCCCTTCCTCACTGACTTTGGGGTCTGCAGGGTTGTTTCTCTCACATAGTCTCACTCCTCTCTGCAGCTAAAATTGCTGTTGTACAGTAACATTTCCCCCTTCTTAAAACTGTTATCCCAGAGGCTCTACCACCATCACTGATGGGCTCAGCCCTGGCCAGCAGTGGGTCCCTCTTGGAGCCAGCTGGCATTGGCTCTGGGGGACATGGGGGAAGCTTCTGGCGTCTTCTCACAGAAACCACCCCTGTAGCCCCCCCGCTACCAAAACTTTGCCTCACAAACCCAATACAATACATGAACCATTTAGTCAAAGGAGATAAAAGCTTGGTCCTGCTGCTCAAGCACTCAACACACAGAATACGGTAAATCAGCCCATTTTATTCAGCTTTATTTTAAATATTCCAAGCCATATGGTGCTTTTTCTTCTGGACAAGACAATTCCACAGCAAATATTCATAATAGCTCCTATTTTCCCTTTACAGTGGCATTCCATTATAACAGTTGTAGCTTATTGCACTAGCTAGGAAGCCTTCTAAGCAATTAATTTCCTTCTTCAGCGGTGATTTTAACAAAATGCACACTTCCACAAATTCATTCAGAAGTTGTTGCATTGACATATAGTACTCATTAGTACTATACTCATGGAGGAAGACTGTTGCATCTCCCAGCTCTATGGGTCTTTGCAGCTCAGTTACCTTTGGTGTTGATGGTGAAGGCTGTACCAGTACAGGGATCTTCCTTTCTACTTTGCCAGGGTTCTCCTTGAAGACTTATTCAGTGGCAGTTTTGGTACGCAAGGTAGTCATCTAAGGCATCAGCTGCAGTAAATGCAAAAGTGACAGTCACAGTGTGAGCATTTGGTAATCTACAAATAGATCTGGAAGTCACATTGGCTCAGGAAACTTAGGCGGAGTCAATTCAGTAACAAATGCATCAATAATGAACACCTTTGCTGTATTAATTTCTCCAAGGCAGCTTGTTCCTCTCTAGTGTGCCTACAAGATGTGCATACATTACCGTCAGTGACTGATGCTGTCCCCTTAGCTGCTCATGTTTAATGAAAGCTTTGTGCCTATATATAAATTCTGTGTTTGAGCGAAACATCTTCCAAATCCTTCGCAGCAGTTCTGGAGGAGACCTTTGGCTTGTATACTGAGAAGTGAACTCACCCTTTCTGCCATGCACAAGCTCTGCAGAATAAGAATGATACATGAATATAAAAATAGAACAGAAGAGGCTATTTAGGTTGGACCAGATGCTCACATTCCTGCCACCTAGGTGGATTTAACATTAATGAATTCCCTGTAAAATGAAATGAGTGTGGGAAAAATATGAAGCATAGGTCTGATCCTGTTCTTTTTTTCTCCCACATGTGGACTTGTTTCATACAAGCACTCTCTCCCTAAGTCATTGAGACTCTTTGTGCATGTTTTCTGTCACTGCTGATTACTTTCAAGAGCACTGTCATGTTGGAGGCACAGGAGGGATGGAGGCAAGAATTAAAGCACCAGTCCCCTGTTCAACCTTCTTCTGCACTGGCTGACTACTTGAGGAAGGGAAGGCTCTTGAAACATTTGCAACCTGCCTGAGTGGATCCAACAGAGGTTGCGCTCCTTTGAACATCAGTGGGAAAAAGGTACAAAGAATAAAACGAGAGCTGCACAGGGAAGGTTCCCTCCTCCATTATTTTCCCGAGCTACCGCTCTAAGGACACAGGTGTGTTCACCTAGTAACCTGCGCTTGGCTTCCTCTCGCAGTCAACCAAACAAGAACCGTGGTCCACGGACACATCAGTGACTGTGCAAATGCACACAGCTGGTGGAAGCAAAGGACATGAAGAGAGCTTGTGAAGCTAAAGGGAAGTTTGGCTCCTTACAATCCAGTCTCCAACGCTTGCTGTGATAACCTTTGCATTCTTGACAATAGCCTGATCCAAAGGCCACCACCAGAGGTCTTAGACAGGGCTATGACAGCCTTTGAGTCGGGCATTGCATTTTTAAACTGAGCCACTTCCTAGTTCTTAAAATCACAACATTTGCCTCAGTGTGGCAGCTGCATTCTGAAGGACAGTCTTAATTCATGGTCAGATCATTTCATGAATGCATTTTGTAGACTCGCAGGGAAGAATTTTTATGGGGGACCTCTGCTGAGCTATTCTTAATCACTGAAATTACAGTGTTTTTCTTACGCATTGCCAGTCTTGTCAGAGGTGTTGGAATCGCTGTGGATCTGCAGCACTCCTCTCACGTAAACATCGTGGCAACACCCACTCCCTGTGTGTGACCACCTTCCATGAACAATTGCCTATTGTCACTCAACATCCACTGCACATTTTAACACCCATCAGGTGTTGACACGTATCCCCTGCTTCCTTAGGACGTGCAGCCCTGGAGAGGACAGTGCCTCCGATGGTACTTTTATTACAGTAATTCCAAGAAATTCCCCACAGGGCCAGAGACACTTTATAGGGCAAAATGAGACAGGGCTACCCTTCTGCCTTGATGGCCTGTACACATGGAGCCTCTTACTCTAATTGCCGTGGCAGGCAGATGGGGGAGTCACACAGAGCTGTCATGTTACACCCCTGCATGGGGGACAGTGGCTAAAACGGGGCTACCTTCTTGAACTTCACCGTCTCTGCCAAACCATGGCATGGCACGGAGAAACTGCACAGTTTCTCTCTCTTCCAGCACAGGGGCGGAGAACCATTGAAGGAAGTCTGCTCTGAACAAATAAAAGGGAGTACTCTTCCTGCTCTGAATAACAGATCTGTTGAACTCCTCCTTAGGAGAGGATGAGAATTTTTGCTGGGGATGCAAAAATTTTAGCTGGATTCAGGAAGAGAGAGGAGAAGTGCTGGAGAGAAAGATCCATCATGGGTCACTAAGTAGAGCAACAAACTGAGTCTCAGATTATCCCCTGAAATAAAATAATCTGGGGTTGGGAGAATACTTACAGAGCTGAAAAAGAATCACACATACTTGTTCTGTTCATATTTCTCCTTCATGTCTGCTACAGCCTATGCAGAAAAGAGAGTTGTGGGCTAAATGAACCTTGGCCCTCAACCAGAACTGCCATTCTGACCATCTTTGTGCCACAGTTTCAAGAGAAATAAAATGGTTTCTTGATAACCTGTGTAGAAAAATAAATAGGTTAGGTCTTTTTCTATCTAGTTTTGATCATGTTTTTCAGTTTATTTTTCTGGTTTGGGGGCTTTTTTTCCGTATCTGGTTTGTTGAGACTCCTGTGGTTCAGCTGGAAGACGGCACATGGATTGGGAGGTCCCAGCCCCTTCTTGGTTAGAGAGGGACATTAGATTTCTCTCAAGGAGCATCTCTGACAGGTCAACAGGGGTGACTTGAGACGTCCACAAAAACAACTCAGGAGACAGCTGCTTTGCAGCTACCTCCTGCCATTCTTGCAGCAAACTCAAGGTAAAACAGGAGAGCTGCTCTAACACAACAGCACCCACACACTCTTACCTTTAACGTGGGAGACTTCTAACTCCCGCTGGCTTTCTGTGGGGAAAGGAGGCGAAAACATTAGGTTAGCACAGCTGTTAGCAGCCAGGGAAACCACTACACAGCTCAGGGCTATCTTCCATCCTGCTTGCTCTCCCTCAAGTTAGACTAAACTGAGAGGAGTTAAGATATGTGTTGACACTTGAAGTTAATCTTCCTTTTAGTGACTAAACAAGGTTTGATCCTTCAGTATCTCCATCTACAGCAGAATAAAAGACTTTAAAAACTTTTTTTTTTTTTTTTTTTTTTTTTTAACCTTATGGAGACAAGTTTTGGCCAGGAAAGATCTTTTCTAGACACTTCCATCTATATTAAATCTTCACTCATCCCTTCCCCCTGCCCCGATCCTTTCCATGACAGATTTACAGAGATATTTTATAGATTCTTCATCTTTATGGTTTCCTTTTCTTTCAGCCATGTCATACACCCCGGGTCCCAATCCGCACTGACAACGAACTTTCTGTTCCTGAGTGCATGTGTCTGTCTCTCACTTGGGCGATGTCAGCTCAGCCTGGCACTCCAGCAGAGCCTGTGAGCTGAGCCATAGATCATCCTGTCCAACGTCAATCCTTCCCCCTGAAGTTTGCCTGACTGCTCTGCTGTAGATGGAAGGATTGAAGGAAGCTTCTCTTCAGACGTTATTTGCTCTGTGGATCAAATACAGACTTCTGCTGGTGAGTATGGATGAGCAAAGACTGGTCCCCAGAGAGGTGGATACTTTCTCAGCAACAATGTCAGCAAAAAAGAAGAAAATCCCAAATTCTTGTAGACTTAAATAGATGTTCAGAAAAATGACTGTGACTTTCTTCTAAGCAATATTGAAAGTACATAGAAGTACAAATATTTCCTCTTCCACAATCCCAGAAATACGCTAATACTCAGACATTTCTCCAGAAAGCATTACAGCAATCTGCAGCTTGACACTGCAGCCCGATCAGAGGAAGGCTGCGAGATCACGGCTGTGCCTGTCCCCTCCATGACTGTCACGTTACTCTCTGCCCTGAAGTCCCATGGAGACCTCAACCCTCCCCGGCTGCCCACAGGCTCCACTTTGACCCCACGCTAACCACCCCTTTCCAGCTAAAGGTTAATTACTCCAGGGGACGTTTCCATCCAAGCTGTTGCCCGCAGGTTGCAATCCCCGCCTGAGTGCTATTTTTAGACCAGCTCCTTCGTTGTTATTGATCCCAGTCACCCTCTGTTAATTAGATACACACAACACACACAGCATTTGCAACTCATTTATCAATTCTGTTCAGCACCTCCCTCCCCTGAGATGTAATTTGGAGCCCTCCTTGAATCATGCTATTGATCTTTCCCAGCAACTTGGCTATAGGATTCTCTGTGTTGCAAACTATTTATAGATTATTCTTCTTCTCTTGCTCTCCCTTGGGGAATAAGAAATGGGCAACGGTAATCAGACTTCCATTTTTAAGGAGTTGATCGAAACCAGATATTTCCTCTTTTCTCCTTTTTTCCCTTCCTTCCCCGTTGCCGTTACGTACAGGCTCCCTCTGGCAGGTGAGACTTTCCTGCTCCATGTGGTGCTGTAATGATTCTGGTAATGCTCAGGTGAAGTGATACAGAATTTGACCTGGATGAAATCTTGTTTGCTGAATTAATGAAATTAATTCTTGCGCCTCTCTGTGGCCAAGAGCTTCACAAAGGGCTTTGGGGCCTTTTTTGCCTGCTCAGTCTGAGGTACACCTTTCAGAGGGCTTCAGTCTCGGATACTGCCTTCTCATCCCACGGATTTCATCAGTTTGCAAAGTACTGGGTTCCCGTTGCCCCCGTGTAGCTCAGGAAGGGCGTCCAAAGGCCTCAGGCAATGTGCAGTCAGGAGTGAGATAGCTGGAGTTGCTTTAGGAATGGAGGATGGCAGTAACAAGCCCTGGGGTTTTGAGAAGGGCCTAAAACAAGGGAACATCACCTGAGGCCCAGAGAAGCCAGAAGCAGCTCAGCCTTCACTGAGTAAGGTTGAAAATCCCAGCTCTAATGCAGGAGAAAGCCTACGGGTACCACAGGCAAGGTGACACCAGAAAGCACAACTGTTTGTCTGGGCATACATGAAAGCAGCCCCAGGCTTCTGCAGCTACACCTGCTGCTGAAAATCTGATGGCAGAGTGAGCGAGAGGTGTGCCAGGAGGAGCTGGGGCCCTGGCCTGCAGCCTCGGGCTCACAGCATGGGGGCTGCAGCCCCCCAGCCCCGTCCCGAGCAGGGTGGTGGCTCAGGGGCGATGGGGCTGGGCTGGGTGGGTCCCTCCGAGCCCTTGGAACAGGCACCTTGCGTGTGTTGTGTGTGGGGAGAGGCTGTTTCGCGGTTGGGGAAGGGGCGGTGTGGCGTGCGTGGGCTGAGGGCGGTGTGCGGAGGCTGCGCTGTGCCTGTGTGTGCCGGGTGGTTGGGCTGCGGGGGGTGATGCTGGGGACCGGGGCCGTGGGCTGTGGCGTAGGGGGTCGTGTTGGGGGAGCTGTGCCGTGTGGAGGTCCGAGGGTGTGAGTGAGGGGGGCTGTGTGCGTGGAGCCGCAGCTGTGGAGCTCTGCGCGTGGGGTGGCAAGGGCGTGATGTGATGCTGCGGTGTGTGGGGCTGTGGTGTGTGAGGCCTGGTGTGTGTAGGGCTGTGTGGAGCTGTGGTGTGTGGGGCTGTAGTGAGTGTGTGGGGCTGTGGGGTGTGTAGCTGTGGTGTGTGTTTAGCTGTGGTGTGTGTGGAGCTGTGGTGTGGGGGGCTGTAGTGTGTGTAGCTCTGCTGTTTGTAGCTGCGGTGTGTGTAGCTCTGGTGTGTGTAGCTGTGGTGTGTGCAGTTGTGGTGTGTGGAGCTGTGGTGTGTGGAGCTGTGTGTGTAGTTCTGATGTGTGTTGCTCTGGTGTGTGTAGCTGCGGGGCATGTAGCTGCGGTGTGTGCAGTTGTGGTGTGTGGAGCTGTGTGTGTAGTTCTGGTGTGTGTAGCTCTGGTGTGTGTAGCTGCGGTGTGTGTAGTTCTGGTGTGTGCAGTTGAGGTATGTGTAGCTGCGGTGTGTGTAGCTGTGTGTGTAGTTCTGGTGTGTGTAGCTGCAGTGTGTGTAGCTGCGGTGTGTGCAGTTGTGGTGTGCGTAGCTGCGGTGTGTGTATCTCCGGTGTGTGTAGCTGCGGTGCGTGAAGCTGCGGTGTGCGTAGCTCCGGTGTGCATAGCTGCGGTGTGTGTATCTCCGGTGCGTGTAGCTGCGGTGTGTGTATCTCCGGTGCGTGTAGCTGCGGTGTGTGTAGCTGCAGTGTGTGCAGTTGTGGTGTGTGCAGTTGAGGTGTGTGTAGCCGCGGTGTGCAGTTGTGGTGTGTGCAGTTGAGGTGTGTGTAGCCGCGGTGTGTGCAGTTGTGGTGTGTGCAGTTGAGGTGTGTGTAGCTGCGGTGTGTGTAGCTGTGCGTGTAGTTCTGGTGTGTGTAGCTGCGGTGTGTGTAGCTGCGGTGTGTGTAGCTGCAGTGTGTGCAGTTGTGGTGTGTGCAGTTGAGGTGTGTGTAGCTGCGGTGCGTGAAGCTGCGGTGTGCGTAGCTCCGGTGTGCATAGCTGCGGTGTGTGTATCTCCGGTGCGTGTAGCTGCGGTGTGTGTATCTCCGGTGCGTGTAGCTGCGGTGTGTGTAGCTGCAGTGTGTGCAGTTGTGGTGTGTGCAGTTGAGGTGTGTGTAGCCGCGGTGTGTGCAGTTGTGGTGTGTGCAGTTGAGGTGTGTGTAGCCGCGGTG